GGGGTTGGACCTCACCTGCACTTCGTACTCCCCGCCAGCACCTGGCTTTCCATCCCCTTCGACGTCATACTGGGGAAAAGAGAAAGGGCGGGTGGTGCTCAGCACAGCCTGTGGGGAGAGGCAGGGGACGAGCAAAGGCAGCTGCTTGCGGGCCTCACCTTCTCAAACATGTTGTGATATCGCTGGTAGACGGCCAGGTTTGTTCTCACCCACCGCTGGGCCAGGGTGAAGGCCAGCTCTTGGGCCTCCGAGGAGGAAGACTTGGCCAAGCCTGGTGGACACAAAGGTCGGTCAGCTGGCCGGGGAGGGGGAGGGGGCGGGAGTGTGTGGATCCAGCCCCCCCCACTCTCCCATGGCACAGCCCCCCCCGACCCGAGCAAGTGGCTCACCTCCACGGTCGGTCGGGGTGGTCAAGGGGAGGCTTTGCAGAGGCTGCCTACCCTTGTCTTAACTTCCCCTGCAGGACGCTGGGAATCCAGAGCAATCCTTCCGATGGCTCCCATTCACACCCCCTGAAGGGAACCAATCCGCCTTGAGGGTTATGGCTGGGGCTTTACCTGCAATCACCATGTGCTGCAGGGGGGCCCAGGCGTTGGGTAGGTCCCACTGTTGCCCCGTGCGTGCCAGGGAGGTGGGCAGCCCCTTGGTGTAGGAGAGTGCTGAGCTTGCCTGGGGGCCGAGAGAGAGAAACATGAGGACTTGATGGCAAGCAGGAGTAAGAGCCCCAGAGCCACCCACCCCCATGGTCTACATCTGGGCCACGAGCAAAGCATGGAAAGGAGGCTGTGGAGTTTCTCATCCTTGTGCGGCCTCGGCTTTTGCAGGGGAGCAAAGCCAAGAGTCCAGACCAGCCCCCTTCCTTGCCCCTCCAGGTGCAGTCGAGACAGAACACACCCTGCCTTGCCCCTCACCGAAACGCCACCCCCAGAAACGGGCAGAAGTGTCTAAGGAGCTGGACCAGCTGCCCTGCGAGGGACGATGGGTAACCCTGTTTGGGCTTTGTTTGCTCAGAAAACCTGGCACAGAAGAGGAGAGAGAGAGTGGTCTACCCACTCAGTGTCAGAGCAGAACAAGGATGGAACCCACGGCCTTAGGAGGTGGGGAGCGCTCCAGCGCTGGAGGTCTTGAAGAGAAACTGGGCCAGCCAGGTGTTGGACAGATCTTGGTTTGGATTCCTGCGCTGGACAGTGGGCTGGACCTGATGGTCGTCTACTCATCGGCCCCTTCCAGCCCCATTGCTTTGCGGTTCCACATGGCTGTGCCCGGTGGGGCATTCCAGGAGGTGCAACCCCAAAGGTCACTTTCCCAAACCGTGCACAAACTCCGTGTGCCCTGGCATCCTTCCAGAGAGCAGAGGGGCACCTCCACTCTGTGGCTTTAAGCCACCCCCCCGGGGCCTC